GGAAGTGTAGGTGGTAGTGAGGGCTGGGCCCTAGGTCTGACTGCAGGAGGCACAGCAGGCTTAGGGTTGTCTGGGAGCTCTCTTCCCACAGTGCATTGCCACCTTTGTTTGCTACATTAACTTTTCTTATGCTTAATTTGGCTGGCAATGGTTAAGCCAATCCATAGGAATGAGGTAGCCTAGGACTCTGAGCTTTGTGAGCAAAGCTTTACTGCCTCCGGGGTCCTGAGCAGTCTTGTCCTGGTCAGTTGTTGCCTTAGGAAGGAAGAGGTCAAGTCTCTGTGACCAGCGACATTGAAAGGTTTTGTGACTGGGGTGAGAGAACGAGGCAGGAGGTACCTGCAGAAGGGAGCTGAGACACTCTTCCTTCCCTTGCAGGTGCTGCAGGAGTACGTGCGCCTGGTGGAGGATGTGGAGACACGGTTGAACCTCGCCACCAAATACAAGTGCCATGATGTTGTTATTGAGGTAGGTCTGTGCTGTGTGCGTGAGGAAATGGGACAAGAGCTTGCTTTTTCTCCATGGCTTTCTCGTGCTCTGCCATGTGCCACTGCCATCATGTGCCTGGTAGGGTTTGTTTATCCTTGTGGCCTAGGAGCAGTGATATGGTTCCCAGTGGAAGCCAAGTGAGCCAGGAGAGTGGCTCTTAGCGTGTGTGCTGTGGACTTGTGCTGTGGTGGGAAGTTGAGGGGGGATCGAATAGTTGCCCTGCTCACGTATCTAACTATGGAAGTGTCCTCTTCACTCAGCTGGATGCTGGTTTTGCTGTTTATCTAGACTTACAGGGACCTAAAGGATCGCATCCAGCTGATAGCATATAAATGCAAGGTGGAGCGAGGCTCTGCAGAAGAAGGGAAGATAAACAGCATTCTCAACAACATGGTAAGAAACACCTGCTTTTTCTTCCAGAGACTCATCAGAAACAGCTATAGATTAGCTATAAAGGCATGGCTGTCCTACATTCTTTTTATCCCTGCTGGGAAGCTAATCTTATGTTTGGGGTTGCATTCAGTGTAGGAATGAAGGGTGAAACTGATAGAAATAGCACCCTCTGGCCATAGCTGTCCTTGTCAGGGATTTCGACTCACTAATTTGGCCCCAGAGGGATCTATGTTCAGCACTGATGTTACTCATCTCTTATTCTCCCTTGTAGCAAATCCGATGGAAGAACTGAGCACCTGTAAAGAAGCCTGCTTGGCCGTTGCCTTGCCAGTGAAAGAGGAAACTGCAAAACCCAGTCCAGTGCCAACAGAGCGACTCTGTTACTACTCATTGCATGATCAACGTTTGTCAGTGACAGTGGGTGCCCGTGGCTTGTGGGACAGCGGCGTTCAGGCTGGTTGAAGGCAGCTGCTCCGATGTAGCCAGCGAAACCATGGTACTGATCTACCGGGGTTGATTCTTTTTGGAATCTGATTCTCTTTGACTTGGCTGTAAGCCAGGCATTGCTTTTGTTTACGGAGGGAAGTTGCTGGGCACAGCAAGATTACATTTGCTCTGGGTGCTGCCTGGGCTTATTCTCACAAGAGGAACAGGTCAGTCACACTCGTGGGTCTCTCCACCAGACAGTGCTGACCAGTCCCTGTAACACTCAAGCTGGCTTGGGCATCACCAGTCATGGCTGCAGCTGGAGTAAAGCCTGCTGGACTGTGTTCTCCCTGCATCAGAGTGCATTTGGGGAAAGGACCAGCTGCACCTTAAAGCTCTTTTTTTGTTTGTTTTTGGTTTTGTTGGTTTGTTCTGGCTCACCCTAGGAAAAGAGGTGTTGTATGAACTCCTGCAGAGAGCTGGGACAGGAGCCTCTGCCGCTATCCTTGTGCTGGCACTCTGCAGCTCTTGGAAGATCCCTTTATCTGGGAAGAACAGGAACCTAGTGTGGAGCTGGTCAGAGCCCTGCTGGGTTGGATGGAGAGGAAGGAGGGACCCCTCTCAGTTGGCACAAGCAGCTCTTTTCTCTGAGAGTGTTATGCCAGGAAGGATTGAATTGCACTTTCTAAGAAACACAACTCCTCAGGCAACTGTTGGCTTCATCCTTCCAGACCTCACTTCAATTCCTTAAATAAAGCTGTCTCTTTCTCCTTGGGCTGTTTATTTCCTTCCCACACTGAGCACTTTGTCACTCTGTGTGCTAATCCTGAGCAATTTATCACACCTCCCACAAACTGAGTATGCAGGGTGTTTTCTCATGTCCTGAAAAGCACAGTGCATGTCACCATGGGGTGGCTTTGCTTGCTGCAGTAACTTATTTCACACCTTCAGTGCCATCAGCACAGACAAATTAATTTTATTGTTGGAGAGTTTGCTGCTGCAGGGGTGGTCGCACAAAGGTGAAGGTTATATGGAGCGATGTACCAGTCTGAGGGCAGGTTTGGGTTCCACCCTCCCTGCTGCACTGTGCATTCAATTTTTTTCTGTTGGTGTTTGTTCTTTTTTTCTCACAGAATCGTTTAGGTTGGAAGTGACTTCTTGATCATCTAGTCCAACCCTGCTCAAGCAGGGTCACCTGAAACAGGCAGACCAGGACTCTGTCTATTTGGGTTTCTCTGTATCTCTGCAGCTGGAGATGACTCAGCTTCTCTGGGCAACCTGTTCCTGAATTTGACCACCTTAACAGTAAAAAAGCGTTTTCTTGTCTTCAGATGGAACTGGACTCTTACATTTCAGTTTGTGCCCACTGCCTCTTCTCATCTTTGGGCACTACTGAAAACAGTCTGGGTCCCTTTTCTTCATTCCCTCTCATCAGATACTTGCACAAATTTGTAAGATGCCCCCTGAGCCTTTTCCAGGCTGAACAGCCCTAGCTCTCGGCCTGTCCTCATACAAGAGATGCTCCAGTCCCTTAGTCATCTTGGTGGCCCTTTGCTGGACTCTCTCCAGTATGTCCATGTCTCTTTTGTACTGAGGAGCCCAGAACTGGACACAGCACTGGATTTAGAGAGGCAGGATCACCTTCCTTAACCTGCTGGCAACATTCATCCAAAGGCAACCCAGGGTGCTGTTGGCTAGGGTAAGGTTTGCTGCCAGGCTCTCCCACATGCCTCAGGCCAGGACATTCCTTAGTTGTAGGAGGTGGAATGGTGTCACTGGTTGGAATTTCTGTCGGGGAGCAATGGGAGAAGCTGAACGTACCCTTGGAGGAATCTGATGAAGCCATAAAATAAATTGTAATGCCTGTATTCTCCAAGCATGGGTTCTGGATGCCCCTCTTGTGCTATGATCAATGATACAGATGTGTAAGGAGATGTGTACATCCAGCAGCATGGGAGCCATCATCTGGCTATGCCTGCTGGTCCCCTGACCTCTATGTGCAGTTTGCAGGACATGGTACTCCTGACCTGTGGGTATTGGCACTGCCAAAGTCCCAAGCAAAGCAGGACCGCTTGTTACAGAAAATGCTGATGTGTCACATGGGATGGGAGTAGTGATTTAGTTGTTCCTCACACCCTGATACCAGAAGCTGGATACCAGCTTTATGAACACCTTCCAGAGCACCGGGCTGGTGTGTGTGTCTGATTGTGCATGGTGCATCAGGGAACGTTTGTCTATAAGGCAGTATTTGGGAGCCCCAACAATTATTCCTGGGTTCCTCTGAGGCCACAGCTCACAGGCTGCCCATGACTACTGTGTAGGCAGGAAGAGGAGGTTTTCCAGGGAAATATGTCCTATGGCTGGGGAGGGAGGGGTTTATGTAAGTAGTAAACCTAAAATTACTGTAGAGCTGGTGGTTTTCGTTGTGGGTTGTTTGTTTTTTTTTTTTAGCAATGTGGCAGGCAGTGCCCAGCTGATGCAGATCATCTTGGGACCAGTCCAGCTGATGAAGTAGATCATGGATAGAATTTGTGTGAAGGTAGCAAAATGCCTTTTTTTTTTTTGGCTTCCTTTGGAAATTCAACTCATCTGCCCCCACTGAGGAGGCCAGCCTTATTCTGGTTGAGAGCACCTTTTCCATGTGAACACATGTGGGCAGGAGCTGGCATAGAGACCTGTTCAACGCCGGCCCTCTTAGTTTTTTCATGCTAACGTTGCTGCTGGCTCTTGGGGTGGCACAGCTGTACCCAGCAGAAAAAAACAGGGACTGCTACAGTGAAGGTGGTCCCCTCCCACAATTGATTTTTGTTTGCTTCTGTGCTCTAGGGGATGCTGAGGTGGCTCTGGAAAAGCCCTGACTCCCAGCTTCCCTGGGTGAAAGTGTGCAACTTCCTGTGGCAGCAGCAGTGCCCAGGCTGGGCTGGCTGGGCACCCCCAGGGGCCTGGGCTCACTGCCCGCGCAGGTAGGGCTGGTGCCTGCCACAGCATCGGGGGACATGAACCAAGACAGAACCTGAGCGGGTGGAAACTTGGGGGCCTCATTCAGGCCACCCTTGTTCATCATGCTGACTGCGGTGCCAGGGGCGCCAGTGGGCTGTGGGTGCTGAACAGCGCAAGGCAGGACTCCAGCTGCTTGCGATGGAGCATGGGGTTATTTCTGTCCCTGATGTGCTTGGCTGAGGGTGTTTCAGCCCAGTTGGTGCCTCTTGTCCCGTGACAGCTGTGCCAGAGTTGGGTGAGCTGCAGAGAGCCTTAGGGAACGGATCAGTTTTCGCCTCTCTCCAGCTCCAGTGCAGGTTTGTGATACCCTGAAGCACGCTCTGGGTTCCATCAGGGGACATAATTCAGATAGCTCAGCAGTGTCCTGCTCTGGCCAACAGCACTATACGTTTGCCTCACCTCGGGCTAAATGGTGCACCAAGCTGTCCTCTGCTGAAGCAGACAGGAGTGGGATGTGCTGCTCTGTCCATCTCCAAACCCCCAGCACCTTTGCTGCTGGATCACCATCTCATTTAGCAAAGGAGGGAATCAGCTGCTCTGGTTCTTGGAGCTTTCTGGACTAGTTGCAGTCACTCTATTGTGACGTTTGCCTTGTATTCCTGAAAGCATCCCTGCAGCTCTCTTCAAGCAATAAGGCAGGCCCTGGGCAAGGGTTCCCACCCCTGGATGCTGCTGAGCTGGCTGTGCCATGATGTGGGGACTTCATAGCAACTACGTAGAGGGAGAAGGAGCTGAGAGGCTGCTCAGCTGAGGAGGGCAGGAGGCACAGTATTGGCCTAGGAAAGCTGAGGGCAAAGGAAAAAAACAGCTTTGAACTAGAAAACTGAACTACTTGCTGAAGGTTTGATTTTTCTCATTACTTCCAGCCCAGGAGCAGCTCCAATGAAGACTGTTCCAAGTGCTGTGCAAGCAGCTTGCGGGTGGCTCGGCTTTAAAGTCCAGCTGGGACTTCTGTAACAGAGAAATGTAGCGTCAGAGAACGCATGGGTTCAGATGTCCACTGATGAATCTTGTTCTTGGTGGCTGCGTTGCATGTGGGGACCGGCCACTTTTCTTGGTCCCACGTTGGCAAGGAGAAATGCTGAGAAGGGCTGGGGTCTCACAATGCAGGTACAATGCTGGCAGGTGCTGCGATGGACTGCCATGCTGCGTGGGTGGAGGCTGTGTCCCTCTTCTAAATCCTTGCTGCTGATGCTTGTCCTTCTGGGCCAGGAAGTGGGACATTACAGAGCCTTTCAAGTTCTCTCAGGCTGATGAAGCAGTGGAAGGTGAGGAGGCCTTGATGTGTCTGACAAGGTGCCACAATGGGCTGGCAGTGAATGTGTGTGCCTATGCCATCTTCTTCTGCAAACTTCTTCACAACCTCAGGTAAGGCGGAAGCAAGCTCCTCACTGCTGGTAAAATGCACTGGCTGGGTGACATAGTCATGTCATGGAGAAACCTTGACATGCCAAGCTTTTCAAAAACTACTGCATCTTTACTGAACTGAAACATGGTACAGGCACATCACCACTCATTCTTATGTTGGTCTGAACAGCATGAACATGTCACTGGGAGGACTGGGGAAGGTGGCTGGTCTCTATAGGGAGTTTCTTTTGTGGTTCATGCCACCTCTGTATGAAGTTAAGCATTATATAGGTATTTCTACACAACGCTACAGTCCATTAGCTTTTTATCTGTTTCTGCATGGTTAAAAGCTCACCTACTGTTCATACCCACGCTTGTTGATTGTTGAACATCTGCGTTTATATTAACTCGCTGTCAGTCAGTCTTAAACCCCTTGGACTAGTTTTCTCCTGAGGAAATCAGGGAATGGAGATTGTCTCTAGCACCAAATCGGGGTTTCATCCCAAAAACCTTGTAGTGCCCAACAACACCTGTGACTTGTTCCTGCCACTAGTCTATATGGTTTATAATGAGCCAATTGTCCTCCACTAGCATGTGCTGTCCCATGTTCCTTCTCAGCAGCAGCTCCTGCTGTCACAAGTCTATCCTCCTCATACTGACTTGTTCCTGAGCTTGGCCATTGTGTGGGTTGATGTGTCTGCCAGGTATCAGCTCTTAATTGCTGAGCTGCTTTACAGTTAGCAGCCAGTCAGCCTCAGCATGGGATGGGGACATTGTGCTCCCTAGGGTCCTGTGCATGCCAGGCTGCAGCCATCAGCCTCTGCCTCTCTGGCAATCCCGTTGGAGAGCAGGGGCGTGAGCTGGGCTGGATGCAAGGATGCAAGGAGTGGGGTTGGGATGTGCTATCCGGACATGTGGCATGGGACACTTCCTGGAAGGGTAGGACCACATGTGGTCTGGGGAAACCATGGCTCGTGCTGGGCTGATGCCAGCTGTCTGCTTCCCCGGGCACAGCGGGACTGAGAAGAATTTGCCAGCTTCCTTGGGGGACAGCCACAGCCTGAAGGTTGGGATTATCAGTGGGGGCCACCTTGGGAAGCAACTGGCCCAAGCGCTCCTGACACTGAGCTGGACTCTGTGCCCCAGTATCTCTTTCCACCAGGTGCCCCAAGAGCCTGGGTAAGTGCTCCCCAGCCTGGGCCTGGAAGTGGGACTGCACTTAATGTGGACTTCTAACTGCAATTTTTCCATAGCATTTCAGGCAGAACTCACTAAAGAATGTTTTTCTGCCAAACATATTGAAGGTATGGAAACTCCAGTTTTTTATTGGGAAGCGAGGGATGCTGTTGTAGAAAAGATCTTTATTTGGTTGGAAACCCAGTGTCAACCAACATTAATTTAGTTGTTTGCTTTTTTTTAACCAGTCCCATCTGAGTGTGGCAGAGACATTAACCTTGTTGTTTGAACACTGCCTAGTTTAAGGCAAATTTTATTTTAGTCCCTCCCATTTCTGTGGCTCTTCAAAATTCTCCATGTCATTTGCCAAGAGTGTGGTCTGACACTCCAGGTTGTTAAATATTCACCCAACAGAGAAAACATCTCCCCAAATGAGTGGCAGTGCTGAAATGGAGATGTCCCTCTCCTTGTTTCATGGCTGCAGGGTCAGCTGTAGCACTCGAGCTTCTCGATGGGCTCTGAACGCCCAGCCAGGAGAGGAGATCAGCCTGCAGTGTTACAACAGTTTTCATACAAACTGCCAACTCTCCTGTAAACTCTTATATAAAACAAGACAAGTGGGGAGAACGGTCCTCCAGGAAGATGCTTGGAACAATAAAATCCTCTTTCTAATCATCTCAGGGCAGAGAGGAAGCAGGGATTATTAAACGGCTTTTTATAGATCTTGAAAGCTAGCCAGATCCCAAGGCTTGGCTGTTTCAGCTAAAGGCTTTAAATCAGCCTGCGTGAGCTGGGGCCAGGCAGCTAAACTCTCTGTGTGTTTATTCCTGGCAGAGAGGCTGCCTGCTCCGTGTCACTCTGCTGCTGCACTTCGCCATGTAGGAATGGTGATAGGCAGCAGCCAAAAAGTCCCTCCGTGCCAGTTTGGGCAGGCAGCCAGTGGTCCCAGCCTGGGAGCAGTGGTTTGTGTCTCACCTGCACATGGGAGAGCACAGGTAACTGCACTATCAGTGCCCAGAGGTGCTGGTCGGTCATCTGTGCCAGTTCTGGGGGCTCTTGAGTCCCTTTCTCCTTGCTTATTGCAGCAGACCTGCAGAAGGAGGGGCTTGTGTGCTTTTATGACAGCGCTCAGCTGGTGGCCTGGGTGGACATTGCATTCCTCTGCTGCCTCCCGTCGCACATGTCGTCCATCTGCTCCGTGTTTGGCTTGCCATCCAGAAACGCTGCATTTTGTACAGTCTCGCACTGCCGTCCCTCTCCTCAGGTAAAACAGACCACATCATTTCAGAGCCTGGACACGCTGCTGTTGTTTGGGACCTCACAAGGCAAGCGCAGCGCATAGGCTCTGGCCAAGCTGGAGCTGTGCAGAAGCACAGCTCTTACTGCCTCTCGTAATTGTACTGTGAAACGTCTTGCAAACAGTTGGTAACTTCCCCAAATCCCCAACTGATGGAGTCACGGGAACACTTTAGAGTTTCAGCTTTCTGTTTGTCTAGAGGAAGTTGTAGACTTTGTGGCTATAAACCTGAAAACATGATCAAAAGGAGTCAAGGGAGCTCCAGATCAAACAGAATGCTGGCATTGGGACCCTGCTCCTGCCAGGGCCTCAGGTTATTCTTGCAAGATAACCTATTGTGAGACAGCACAGGAAACAAGGTGCAAAGAAGCAGCCTGCAGTCTCCGCGGTCGAAAAAGCAAACCCAGTGCATCGTGTTTCACTTTAAGCTGCTGCTGTAGCTCTCCCAAGGGTTCTGAGTGCAGGGGTATCACCTACACCCCCTGCTCCTGACCGCTGGGTGTGCCCAGCCTCTGCCATCAGGCCAGTCCTGGCCTTCTGCTGAGGTGACCAGTGAGGGGCCAAACATGATGCTGCCCTTCATGCTATGGGTGAGGCTGTTTACTAGTAAAATATTTGCAGATCCTGCAAAAGATTACTGCTTCCTCCTCCTTACCAGCTAAACCTAGTTTCTCCCCCATCAGCTAAACCTGGGTGATGCTGGCTGTTGATTGCAGGGCTGAGGGAGGGCAGACAAGTAGTTGGGATCCAGCTGGAGAGGGGAGAGGAGAGGGAAAGATAGGATGGACCTTGCTTGAGGGAATCTGCCTGCAGTGGGGAAGGACCTGGATCTTGACACAGTCCTGTGCTGCTGCAGTTGTGGTATGATCCATGTGCACTGGGGCAGAAAGCACAAGACCGCTATTTTTTTTTTTTAAATGCCTCACTGCATGGCAAAATGAGCAATCCTACTGTGGCCATCTCTCCATTGGCACTGTTAAGGCCCATGGATTAACATTAACACAAGGCAACGAGGGTCCATCAAACAGGAAGATCCTTTCTGGCTGGTTAAGATGGAAAGGAATCATTATAAGAAACGTTAGTGGGATGAATCCCAGCAACTGTTGGCTCAGCCATGGATAGTGTAGTGGAATATTCTCTGAGGCTTCCTCCAAGTTTCCCTCAAGCAGGATCTTAGAACCCCACGATCCCCCCCGTGCTGTGCAGCCACCACTGGCTCTGGCACCGCTCCACTGCAGTGCAGCCCGGGCTCCCTGGGAGCATCCCCTTCCCTCCCCGGGACACTCATTTCGGTGCCCCCACTCACAGGCTGAAGGAACTCCTTCGCTGCAGTGCCAGCGTGAGGCCGCAGTCCTGGTGCTCTGGCCAAGAGCCCACTGACGAGTAGGGGGTGAGGGGGCAGCCCAGTGGTGCTGGGGGACCCTGCTGCTATGCAGGCAACGCGCCCTGCAGTTCCTGAGGTAAAAGCTCTTTTTGCTGAAATTTGGTAGCAGCTTTTCTGAGGAGCTGCGCTCAGTGGTTCCCCTGCCTGTATGATTCAAGGGTGGGTCTGGGCTGGCGATAATTTTGTCAGTCAGGAGTGCGGTCTGGGGAAGAAAACCCTCCTAGAGAACTCCTGCCACTGTACAGCTGAAGCTGGAGTGGAAATAGTGTGCGTGGAAGGGAGTAGTTGTGCACAAGAAGTGGATGGGCAAAATGAGGCAGTGTGTGTCTCCTTCACCAGTTTCTCTGATTAGTGCTCCAGGGTCACCCTTTCTTTCAGGAGCTTTCTGTGTACCTGCTACCATTTCCCTTCGTGAAACAATAGTAGCTCTGAGGCTAAATCAGTGAGCAGGCGCCAAGATCTACTTTCTGAGCAACAACATGGTCCAAAATCTTTTTCTCTTGCCTCGGGCACAACTTCTGTTTTCATGGACGTGCTGTTCCTATTGCCGGCCGCTACCTCTCTCTGTCACGATTTCATTGTACGCTTCTGCACACGCTTTTAATGCGTGTGTTGCTGAATGCTCTTAAAGCAGCCGCAGTGCCCATTGTGCCATGATGGCTGAATGGTTATATGACCTTATATGCAGCCTGTGAAGGACTCCTGTTTACTCGATGAGAATGAGCTACAGAAATACGAGCTACACTAGACTTGTTACTATTAATTTCAGCATTCCTTACCTAAAATGATCCTAGATCAGAGGTTTCAAATAAACCAGGTATGACTGATTGCCAATGCAATTCTTCACAGGAGTGGGAGATATCTCATCATACCTGTGTGCACCCTGGTAATTGACATTTGATTTTGTTTGCCCTGCAGGGTAAATGCTGAATGGCTGGTGGCCATTTTCTATGCAGCCCTGAACAGCAGCACGTGGCAGAGCCTGCCTCACCAGAAGGCACTGAAATTACTCAGTGGCCCGTTTTCCTGACCGCTGACCCAGCTGTGCACCCACAGTTTGTGTGCAAGACTTTTGCCAGCAAAGGTTTTGCCTCTTCAGTGACTCAAGCGGAGTAAATAAAGGGTTGAATGTTGAGGTACTGCTTGTCCAGGCTTCCTCTTTGCTCTGAAACTTGCCTCGTCCCACAGCTGAAGCATGGACTGTCTTGTTGGGTTGGAAGGTGCTGAACTGTGTGTTGCCCTTAGGACCACATACCTGCCAGGGAAGATTGCCTTAGATGATGTATTTGCAATAAAAGTCCTGGACTACTGTCCCAGGGTTATTTTGTCCCTGGTTCCTGTTTCATTATTTATCAGGGTTGTCTGAAACCACTGATCAGGACTGGGGCACTGGATGCAGGCAAAAAAAATTCCTGTGGGAATATCTAGAGAGGACAGTTCTTATGGGTAATGAGTGAATTTATGATAGTTCATGGACTACACTACTGAGGATGTTAAGTCAGGGGAATGCTCTTGAGGTAAAGGACTCCTGCTTGTGCAGGATTGTTCTGAAGCCATTAGGCTGTTTTGCTCCACATGCCAGAGTAATGCCTGGAACCCTTTAGATGCAAGTCTCTAAGTCTGATTTTTTTCTCAAAGACTCAAGAAAGAGACTCATAGTCAGATGCTGAAGAAAGCCGTTATTTGTTAAATTATTAGCAAGCTGCTCCAGACTGTTATTGCCCATAAATGTTTCCATTGTTTTCTCTTCCCAGAGCCTTCTCCTGGTTTGACCTGACAGATGCATAAGTGTGAAAGTCTCCCTTTAGCCAGCTGCTAGAAAACAGTGAGCTTGTCCGGTGCCATCTTGCTATACTACACCAGGAATCCTTTGGAGACTGGCCTACAAAGCAACGTGGGCTGATCAGTACCAAGACATCTCTACTTCAACTGTAGTGGAGCCTCGTGTGATGTTGGATGACAAGCCTCTGTCGCTGCTTCCGACATTTTCTCAGAAATTCCAGAGGAAACTGCTGACTCTGATTCTAAATCCTCATAAACTATAACGAAGCCCATGGCAGAATGCTTTGCTGAGATCTCATCTCAGCCCCCTCACCAGACTGAGGGGTGCAAGAACCAGCGCTGTTCACTCTTGGACTCTTTAAAATATTCCAGCCAATAACTCTATGTATACATTTGCTTCAACAAGTTTCACCCTCCAGACTGCTCAGCAAACTTGCTTTTCCCTGTCTGCTTGAGTCTTGCTTTATTTTGGTCTGAAATTTCTCATTACATAGTCACCTTGATCTACAAACTGCTTCGGTTTCACTGGGTTTCTGTTGCAGTTTCAATAGAAAACTGAATTACCAAATTACAGTTATTTTGTAGTGGCTACAGCTTTGGTGTAAATAGCAAAACAGGATTGTGCCCAGGTTTTGTTTGGGTTTTTTTATTGGGTTTGCTTTTATTTTTTATTTTTTTTTAATATTTCTATGGGGGATCTCAAGGAAGCTGTTGATGCCAGCCAAAATAGTAATGATTTAGTCAGGAGCACTCCTGTTGAGCCAGGCTTTAATCAGCACTTATTCATACTTTCTTGCTGGTGATAATGTACCCCACCACCACCACCACCACTGACTACATGATGCTTCTTTCAACGAAAAAGGAGGTAACTGGATATTTTGTCCAAATCCACCCAGAACAAAGCATTTTTTATTCCCTAAATTCTCTAGTTCAGCTTACAGTATTCTCTTACACTTCCTGCCATCATCTATCATGTCCTTCAGAACTGTTTACTATGATAAACCACTGCCTGGTTTTGCCTCACAGGAAATCGTTTCTGTGGTGAGGCCAGGGATTAGTTGTGCATGGTGTAACTAGGCCCCTAGCTTAATTACAATCGCCGACAGCAGCTGGCACTGCACCTGTACACCAGTTATTGTATATGTCATTTATCGTACGTCTGGGCTTCACAATGAGCCCCGTCTACAGACACTAAAGCCTAGGAGAAATCTATTCACTTGAGCTCCAGGGAAGTTGTTATCAATCACTGGTAATTAAAATGTGTCTATGATTGGGTTTTTTGTCTTTTTAATCAACTGTGAAGCAGAAGTGAAAGGCAGACAGTGGTACAGTCTAATTTATAGCTTCTGCTTTCCTGGAAACAAATGAAGGATTGCAGAAAAGAGCAAATGTGGGTATGTGTTTGCTGTCATCAAATGGTAAAGAGCTGCAATGGCCTTTTTATGATCGGGAGAAGGTGCAACTGTGCCTCCTTGGACAAACTGCAAGGTAATAAGGGTATATTCTGCTGTCCCTGCTGGACTTCTTATAAAGGTGGAAGTGGAGTGTGAGTCTCTAATCCTGCCCCTAGGTGCCCTGCAATGCAAGGAGAGCCCCAGTCTGGGCTCGTGGCAAAGGAGGAACTGTAGGGTAGGGCTCCAGTCCTGCTTCTTGGATAAACTGTGAGAAAGTGAGGGCATCTGCTTTCTGCCCTGATCGGGACTTTCGCTCCAGGAAGAGACCCATGTTGTCTCTGTATGGGAGGGCAATGGATCTGTTGAAGAGAGGCTCCTCAATCCCCAGCAACTCTCGCACGTGTCGTGAAATCTCCTGAAATACAAGACAAAACACCAGAAATTCTCATTTCACAGGGCAACAGCTAATACCATTCCCTCTGTGTCAGAGCAGCAGCAAAAATAATAACTTTCTAAATTCTAGAACAGTTTCACACTTCATGTTGCAACTTGAGAGGGATCTGTACCCATGAACTCCGTGTGACACTGTAAAAGCAGAGCAGACCGCACGTTCTCCAGGTTTACTGTGGGGGATGGCATCACATCTGCTTTCTTAGTGGCACAAATAGCTCTGATTTCCTCTTTGCACTTGCAGGACAAACAAGTTATGGGTGAATGACCTGGGTCCATTCTGCCTAATGCAAAAGCCATTGCTGTCTGCTAAGTTACATTGTCAACAATGGAGTTTATACACAGAAGAGGTGTAAAAACTAATTAAACCAATAAGCCATGTTGCTCATTAAGAAAATGATGGGTGACTGGCAGTCTGAGCCAGCTGGGCCTGGAACTGTCAGTGAACAGAGCCTTGCCATTATTTTTTTGAAGTCACTTCTGGGAATGTAACCTCTGATTCGACTGAAGCCTCGAAATATAATTCACCAGGTTTTACTGATCTTTCACAGCATTTGCTCAAAACCTTCCCTGAACTTTGGCTTGACTCTGAAGAGCAGTACTGTACTTCGTGTGATATGAACACCAGACTGGTGGTTTTGGTAAAATACCAGCACAGTGGAATTAAAACCAGTAATAACTTCACTTGTCCATGCTGCATATCTTCCACATAATTCACTGTGTGGTTCTCCATCTAACTGCCATTTCCCCTAAATTGCAAAAAGTTTCTGTCTCACTGACCTGATGCTATCATGTTTATTTCTATGGTAACTATCTTGGGTTTGACTGTTCACTGCCTTTCCTTGATATTTCTTGTTGAGAAGCTGATGTGCCCAGAATTATGGCCTTTAACTTCGCACCTGCTCTAGTACATAGCTCCTGAAACACCCAAAAGGCCACATCCTGCTCAGAGCTCTGCACGTTTGGATTCTGTCAGAGTAAAGTTCTCTAAAACACCAGTAACTAGCAGGGTAGGGCATGATCTCCAAGAACATCTAGGTTCCACTGAAGTCTGAGAGATGTTCCCAACTCACTTGCAAGCTTTGGAAAACATTAGAGAGACATTTCCAAGCTTGCTGCAGGATGCTGCCTATGGCTTATGCTAGCCCTGAGGAGTTTCAGTTTCTACAGGAGGGAGAAAGGGTTTCAGCTGCTATCTCTAACCCATGGCTTACTGTTTCTCAGCAGTTAAACTACCACCATACATAATCCCTACATCCCAATGTGAGGGTGAGGCTTACAAAGCCTATAAAATTCTTGCCATCTTTGGTAAGTGCAGATGACTATAAAGGCTGTATCTGCTCGTACTAGAAATACTCTTGAAGGGCTGCTGTCTGAAAAACCAAGCGTTTTAATTTGATGCCTTCTCCTCCAACCAACAGGCAAAGTTGTGGCACCAGTCAGTGTTTTTCGTGGCACATTTAATTTCAACAGTTAAGATTGTGCAAACAGAACTGTGGTGAAATTGCTTTTTGGTGCTCTAGAATAAAACAAACAGTGTTCATGCTGTTGGAGCATAAAGATTTTTCTCTCTTCCTGGTTATTTGAATTTCTACCTTGCAACTTTGAATCATGATGCAAAACAAACAATTTGGCTCTGTAAATGCAGCCCTGAGTCCCTCTGTGGTTTCAATTAGGGAGGGGAAGAAGGGAAATGCAAGTCAACTTGCCTATTTTCTGAACCTTCAGGAAGCTTTGGAAGGCCAGGCTTCAGCCCCAAACTTCAGCTTAAGCATCAGTGTTTGTTAGAAAAAAGATGTAGGTTTGAAAGGAAAATGACCATAAAATTACATGTTTATAAAATGAGGAAGAGACAGAGATGCTGTTTGTGCTCAGCAAAGTGAAAAACAAGGAAGTAATAATGAGTTGCCCTTCTGTTGCTTGAGATCAGTGGCCCGATTGCTGCAGGTTAAGTCTGACTAGATTTTTAGAAGTTCTTCAAATCAGCAAGTGGAAAATTACTGAAATGAAATTCTGAGAGGTATTTAAGAAAGGCACATGCATCTTGCTAAGCAATGTCATGGGGCAAGAGGAGCAACGTAGGCTTAAAGAAAGCCTAAGCACTTCTGATGTAGTTATGGTGTCCCAGAGAGGAAGCCTGCGATCTCCAGTTGGCTAAGGATTTATACCTGAAAAAAAATCAAGGAATACAACTATTTGGCTGAACAGATTTGGTTGTCCAGCTCCAGGCTCACTCTTTGAATAAGCAACCTGTCTGGGCGGACGGGCTATAGCCTAGCTTGCAAGCAGAAAGGGTCAGAGCTGGGCTCCGAGGGGCTGCGGAGGGAGCTCCGGGACCCGCAGCCGGCCGC